TTTATATATATATTATATTATATAATATTATTTTATTTTTAATTAATTAATTAATTAATCTATTTATTTATTTATTTATCTTTTTTGAAAGTTAATTTCATATTACAATAGTAGAGGACAATATATAATGGGAAAATAGGAAAAAAGAAAAAGCAATGGCACAAGTCGCTTATTGACATTATGAGCACCATGTCTTAATGTATTAAAGCATGTGCTCTAACTGCTAGGCTATGGCTCTAATAACATTAATTTGTGAATGGTGTTCACATTTATAGATTATTTTTTTATATATATGTATCATTAAATGTGCATGTACAGTGACCCTTTCCACACTGCTCCATTTTGTCACAAAGAGTTGGAGGCACTTTCACTGGCATTTTAGCTTGTTTAGATTTGCACCATGGTGGTCCCTGTCAAAATCAGCCTCCGGAGCAAATCCGATCACATGTCCCTCCCACACCGCGCACCTGCGTCTGATCAAGACATTTATACACCACAACGTCACCGAAACTCTCTGACAGGAAATAAACAGCTTAGGGGTACCGGAGTTATGGAGAAACTATACGACGGCTGATATAAACAATGGTGCGCTGCGAGAGTTTTGGACAGCAGTGGATTAGAATTGGGTCAGTGATAGTAACACAGGATCCCCTGGTGAAAGTGGTACTGGGGTCCACAAGCCTCTTGAGTCTCTGCAAATCTCTGTCCTGAATATGAAGACCAGGGCAGATAGAGGAACGGTAGCGTGTGCGCGCGGCACATTACAACCTTATCCAATGTTACAGCTGGTGATTACAGTTTACTCTTTATTCGTGTTATTGCTGTGTTATTTTGGCAACATTTTAGTATAGGGACCAATTCTCATTATTAACTAGTTGCTCATTAGCATGCTTATTATTAAAATATTGGCTGTTTATTAGTACTTATAAAGCACATATTCTGCATGACCATTTTCTACATCTCTAATACCTAAACTTAACAACTACCTTCCTAACTATTAATAAGCAGCAAATTAGGAGTTTATTGAGGCAAAAGTTGTAGTTAATGGTTTGTTAATAGCGAGAACTGGACCTTAAAATAAAGTGTGACCGTTATTTGTATGCGTTTTAAATGGGCCAAAATATGTGTAATTTTATACACTGACACAACATAAACTTATAATTTCTTCAAAAGGAGTGTGTTCTGAAATGCATGGCGCAACACTTCATTTTTTTATGTATCTATATCTATTAATTAGTTCCAAATCACATTGAAATTCAATTCAAACATACAATGAAACCTCCTTTATGATGAGCATGGTTAATTACGGTGTTAAAATTTATTTTGATACTTTTTGGGGGAGGTATAAAGTTGATAAAAAAAATACATTTAAAAAACCGTCAGCGTGATACAACTGTCCAAATATTATACAGAAGAAAAAAAAAAGGATAATTCTTGAGAAGAAAATGTAATTCTTACTTAATTACATAAATTAGTTCTTAGTTTAATTAATTAATTCTTAGGTTTTTAAGTTCTTAGTTTTATTAATTAATTCTTAGGTTTTTTTCCCCCATGTGGTGTGATCAACATGTAGAATAGAATAAAAACAAAACAGGAAATAATATTGTAGAGAAGATATGTC